GGTCCATACCACAAAATTCGACTGATAAAACCAACGCACATTGCGTCATTTGGACGTCATGACGTCATATATTCAACCATACAGATTTCTAGGGCCAGAATCCCTGTTTATATAATTATATTCAACTACTCCTAGCTAATTAACGAAATAATTCTTAGTTTTTAAATCAATTTTAACAGTCTTTTAAAGGCCCATACCATCAAATAAAACTGATACAACTAACGCACATTGCGTCGGTTTGATGACGTCATAGATTCAACCAAACAGATTTCTAGGGCCAGAATCCCTGTTTATATAATGATATTTAACTACTCGTAGCGTATTAACGAAATAATTCTTAGTTTTCAAATCAACTTTAACAATCTTTTAAAGGTCCATACCATCAAATAAAACTGAGAAATCTAACGCACATTGCGTCGTTTGGACGCTATGACGTCATAAATTGAACTAAAAAGATTTCTAGGGCCAGAATCCCTGTTTGTATGATATTCAACTACTCGTACCTAATTAACGAAATAACTTTTGGTTCTCAAATCAATTTTAACAATCTTTTAGAGGTCCATACCACCAAATAAAATTGATACAACTAACGCACATTGCGTCGATTTTACGTCATGACGTCATAGATCCAACACTCGATATTCGATATTCAGTATTCAACTCAATATTCAACTTAACTACTCGTAGGTAATTAACGAAATAATTTTAAGTTTTCAAATCAATTTTAACAATCTTTTAGAGGTCCATACCATCAAATAAAACTGAGAAATCTAACGCACATTGCGTCGTTTGGACGTCATGACGTCATGGATTCAACCATACAGATTTCTAGGGCCTGCATCCTGTTTATATAATGATTTTCAACTACTCGTACCGAGTTGACGAAATAATTTTTAGTTCTCAAATCAATTTTAACAATCTTTTAGAGGTCCATACCACCAAATAAAACTGATACAACTAACGCACATTACGTCGATTTTACCTCATGACGTCATAGATCCAACACTCGATATTCGATATTCAGTGTTCAACTCAATATTTAACTTAACTACTCGTAGGTAATTAACGAAATAATTTTTAGTTCTCAAATCAATTTTAACAGTCTTTTAAAGGTCCATACCATCAAATAAAACTGATACAACTAACGCACATTGCGTCGTTTGGACGTCATGACGTCATAGATTCAACCATACAGATTTTTTTGGGCCTGAATCCATGTTTATATAATGATTTTCAACTACTCGTACCTAATTAACGAAATAATTTTTAGTTCTTAAATCAATTTTAGCAATCTTTTAGAGGTCTATTTCATCAAATAAAACTGATAAATCTAACGCACATTGCGTCGCTTTGGCGTCATAGATTCAACCATACGGAGTTGTAGGGCCAGAATCCCTGTTTATATAATGATATTCAACTACTCGTACCTAATTAACGAAATAATTCTTAGTTCTCAAATCAATTTTAACAATCTTTTAGAGGTCCATACCATCAAATAGAACTGATAAAACTAACGCACATTGCGTCGTTTGGACGCTATGACGTCATGGATTCAACCATACAGATTTCTAGGGCCTGAATCCCTGTTTATATAATTATATTCAACTACTCGTACCTAATGAACAAAATAATTTTTAGTTCTCAAATGAATTTAGCAATCATTTATAGGTCCATATCATCAACCAAAACTGAGAAATCTAACGCACATTGCGACGTTTTGACGTCATGGATTCAACCATACAGATTTGTAGGGCCTGAATCCCTGTTTATATAATGATATTCAACTACTCGTACCTAATTAACGAAATGATTTTTAGTTTTTAAATCAATTTTAACAATTTCTAAAGGTCCAAACCATCAAATAAAGCTGATAAAACTAACGTACATTGCGTCGGTTTGATGTCATGACGTCATAGATTGAACGTTAGTTGTATCAGTTTTATTTGATGGTATGGACCTTTAAAAGATTGTTAAAATTGATTTGAGAACTAAAAATTATTTCGTTAATTAGCTACGAGTAGTTGAATATCATTATAAATAGGGATTCAGGCCCTACAAATCTGTACGATTGAATCCATGACGTCATAGCGT